AATTCTTGTCGTCGTGGTGTATGGTTTAAATCGGAATTTGCAGTACGGCGAACACAATGACAATAGGACGTAATAAGGGTTGTTTTTACGTAGAATCTTAAAGTAGTCGCTCATCAAAACAGTTTAATTTTATATCATTCATCGAATAGAATTATAATATTTCAAGAGAAATTATTAAAAGCTATTTCGACAAAGTATATGGTATGATAGTTGTCCCATTTTTTTTTTAAATTGATGCACATCATATGGGTACAATTATAGGTACGTACAAAAATATAATATTTACTTCGTAAAAACAAATGGCTGCGACTGCGGGTCACGTACCGATTAACAATCGCGAATCGATTAGAATATGTTAAAAAATATATTATTTGTATGGATGACGAAGATGACGAAACGTGATAAAATAATTTCGAATGATTTCAATAAAGTGACTCGTGTATCGAAAGGCGAGAGACTGCGAGTGACCAACATCTCGACGAAGCACAATTAATATCTTGAGTTTTGTTTTGTTTTTTAGCGGAGCATTGACGAAGCATTTACCTTGGTGTTTGGAGCCCAAATGAAAATTGTATTACCTTAGGTGTATACATCAAATTATAAACATTAATACTATATTATATAGGTATAGCGGGTTTTCGACGAAATTGTTTATTTCTCGAAATTTTAATGTCAGTCGTTTACAGTATTTACACTTCCTATACCGCGTCAACACGGTATTTAATAAAATGCACATTTTGAAAGCGAGTCGGTAGTGTAAAAGATACTTTTTAGATTATATATACTCTCGCCGAAGAGTCAAGTGTTAAACGACACCCCGAGTAACTATAACTTTGAAAGTTTTGGAGATGTTAAAAGGATGCAGCTCGTGTTTACTCATTAAAAGGTCTTTAAAAAGTAGGCTTATTAACTTTCCGTTTTAAAACTAAGAATCAACTGCAAGCCTCGTGTACAATTAAAAGTTGCTTGTTTAATATCAACCGTGCGTATACCGCGGTATATACAGACATCAGCCGACCTAATTACCTACAGCGACGTATAGTTTTTCTCAGTGGACTCACTGCGATCGAAAAACCGTGAAATGCAAATTATATTCGCTACAGTGAATCATATTATCTTACACTTGTCGTGTACCTCGTACGTTATATAGGTATATAGGACGTACATTTTATTATGTTTACATTATATTATTATAATCGTTTTCCGGCGGTCCAGAAAGTCCTGGGATGTGTTTCGGTCGTATAATACCTATACCTCTATAGGCAACTATTATAACATGATATTGTATATTATTATTACCATCGTCATCACAAACTTTTGTAATTAATAGATTGTACAGTTAATAAAGTTGTCGTTTAAAAGGTACCTACCGCGTTTGGTGATTTTCCGACGACCTATTTTAGCTAAAAAAAAAAAAAAACGTCCTCGGTGTTTCGGATGCGGGCGCCAGAGCAGTTTAAAACTTTCGACGACGAAACCGCTGTGCAAAGACACCGTAGTATAAGTGCTTACCGTAATTTTGTTACCAATCATAGTCATTATGTAGGCAGGTATACGTTTTATGGGCACAGCTATTTTAATAATAAAGCGGATGCCTACTTGGTAAAACGGTAGAGAATGCTCAAAATTCACGCACAACTCACCGTTTATGAAAACAAAAACTTATAAGGGTGAGAACGAATTTCGTTGTCGTTGTCGTATCATTTAATTGACCATCGAACGATTTAGCAGGTTGAATTTTGTTAAGCTGAAAATGTAAGTGTAACGAATAATAATAATAATAATATATACAGAAACTATGATTCCTAAATTTATATTATATAAAGTTAGTAAAATGTGTGATTAAAATGTTCAAATTCATAATCAGAAATTGTTATGCTTATAATCGTATGAAAATAATATGGCTGTATAAATAATCGGTTGTAATGAGTCACCTTTATAATGTGTCAATTCCTGTATGTACCATCTATCAACATATTCAAAATATATTAACAAGACTTGTTAACTTGGTTATTATTGAATTTTTAGTCACTCATATTATATGTTATTTTTTTAATGTTTACTACCATTTTTTTTCTGTTTATTTTAAGTGAACCGATGAATGTAATAATTTTACAACGATGTGTGTTTTATTATTTTTTTTTTTTTAAATATAATATAGGTACTACACGTCAGGGACCGTGGAGGATGGCACTCGGGGTTGACAGTCTTCGGAAATCAGTGCTCCAATATGTATAGGGACCGAAAATCGTACAGTCGTCCTCTTCGGTTGCAGATCGGTACACCGCTATGATGCCATCGCGGTCGATTGTTCGGGGCGAAAAAAGAAATAAGAAGAAAAAATCGGAAAAAAACCACAGAAAATATGCCCCCACGACATATTATATTGTTTAAAGGGGGGACGGACGCGGTGGAATTCTGGGGCAGCTGATGATGATAATAATAATAATATAGCGAGCATTGTGGGTCGTTAGCAAAGCGGAAACCGCGACGTCGCGGACAAAAACGTCGCCCAACAAAAGGAGACGGATTTTTTGATCCGAAATCGAGCGGCAGATGACACGCAGACACGACCACATCGCACGGCGACGACGACAAAAAAAAAATAATAATAATAATAATATACGTTTATATTATAGGCAGGTATACGTTATTTGAATCATAAAAGGCCATCGAGGACAACAAAAACATTAGATGCCCCGTAATGATAGCTGGTTTCAACGGCGGTGAAACAAACGCACGCGCATCGATGGGCGGACGGATGACGGTATAGAGCAGGACACATAGGCAGGTAATCGTCCTGCACACACACATATATATATATATATATATATGGTACACATAATACGAAGGCTCGAGCTGCGGTTCGGGCAGCTTAGAGGGCAGGGCCAAAAACGGGGTTGGGGTGCGGGAGCTGCTGCTGCAAGAGGAGAGATCTTCGAGAAATGGAAACCGATAAGATTTCCGAAAGATCAAAGGCTGAGACCACATAAAAGACTTACAGAGGTTTTTTTTTTTTATCTATCTATCGTGCGGTTTTTTCTCCTACCCCTGAAAACGCCCCTCTCCGCCTGTACGACAAATATATATATATATATGTGCGTGTGTGAGTGTGCATTGTATACAACATTGCCAGGAATATCGTGTGTAAAAACAACTCATGGCACTGCACAGCTCTTCGTGTGCCCCGCACGTGAAATTGGAACTGCAGTAACATAATATAACACAATAATATGATATAATATACTGTCGCGCATTACGTTATTATATTATATTATATTATTATTACGCTGTCGACGTTCGGTTTTTTTGTTCAATGTTTTTCTTGGGTGTGTCGGGAGGTATCCTATCGCGTATATTATACACCTCACCGTGGAAAAATAATAATAAACACGTCTCACCGCGGCCTACAAACGGTTACGATAATATTGTAATCACGTGACGGGGGAGGATGTGGGCAGGGTGGCAAACCATCGGCGCGGGAGGCGTGAAAAATGTGTTTTTTTTTAATAACAATATCGTACGCACGTTGTGTGTTTACCTTTCGGGGGTGAATCGCTGATTTGTCGTGCGGCTAAGGGTTTCCTTTTTGGATATGTGGTAACCGATTGTTTCACACCGTTTTTTTTGTTCGTACATTCTGTCCCCCGGAAAAGGGTGCTGGCGAACAAGAATAAAAATCATATACATAATATAGCCGTGGCACTACACATAGACGTGCAGGTAAAACGTATAAACCGTGTTATAATGTTGCGTACAACACCGTTTAGTCCTTCAGCGGACGTTGTTTGTGTTCACAATATAAGAGTAAGTTGTAACAGTTTGCGATTTGTGAATCAAACTACGCCTCACCGCATAGTAAACTGTGTAGGGCATACATGCATTTTGTTTAGGGCATACACCTTTTCTAATATTATTATTAAATCACATTTTCATATGACGTGATCGAACCGCAGTAGTTAAATACCAATTATACGTGTACCAATTATAACTATATACATAGGTAGGTCCTTGGTACGATTACCAGAACGCATGTTAAATCTTATAAGTAGGAAATGATTTGTTTCTTTCGTTTTGTATTAAAAAATTTAATATAATAATGAAAATGATATAATATAGATAACGCTTATTAATTGGTATGCAATTATCACAATAAATATTTATCTCACTTAAACACATTGCTTGTGTTGGTGGTATAGAGAGTGACACGTAAAATATGATAGAACTGAAATCCAAAAAACTCCAAGAATTAGGCTCAATATTAAATTTAAGACAAATTTAATAATGACAAGAAAAATAATATTAAGTGAACAATAAATTATTAAAACAATCATATTATATTAATTTATGTGATCTAAAGATCAACACTTCATAAAATCAATTGATTGAAAGAGCCTGATCATATTTTATTTTTATTTTTAGATACCCAGCCATGAAGAATATGTTTCTTTAAACAATGTTTTGAGTATGAAACATTTTAAGAAAGTAAATTCAAGTAGAGTATGACGTGACCACAGCCGCTATATGTAGGAGTAGAGATCACCATGTTAAAGTACAAATTAACTTGCTAAATTAATTTTATTTTAAACAAAAACGTTCGTTTTTCACTTGAACTCTAGCGCCACATAAAATTGTATAGTTTTTTTTTCCAAAAATTATATTTTAGTTAACAACCCCCCCCCCCCCCTAACCGTTTCGGAGCTATATATATGCTATAACTTTGCTACTTACAAATAAGCGAACGTTGATAAAATGAATAGAACAATATTGTATTATTTCGTTTTATTAAACCATACAATATAAAACACAATGTCACAATATAACATTTCCTTAACTAGGTACATGTTCATTAAATAAACATACACCTACAATTGAAGGAAAATATATGATGAAAAATAAGAAAATAAGAAAAATTAAAAAAAAAAAAGTACAAAATACAGTCAACTGCGCACATAAGTACCTACTTTGGTTTAGAATATAATAATAAGATATAGGTATATAGCTGAGTTCAAACCGGTGTGCAATTTATTTTTCAACCAACATTATTATTATTATACTTGTTCGTCCGTTTAAACGAAATCTGGCTAAATGTTTGGTACCTACTTCGTTAAAAAAAATTGTACTCGACTTTTATTATTGTTATTACATTGTTTGTTTGTGCGTTTGTGCATGTATAAATGAGATGAGGAGACGTCACGATAAAAAAAAAAATGTCAAAACGTTACATTCGGCTCGACTCGTTGCGCGTTTGCAGTATTATATTTTCTGTTTTTGCAGAGTTCAAAGCTCAAGCGAAAAGGCATTTTTTTTTTACTTGGAAATATTTGTTAGAGACCACGTGTAGTTCAACTATATGTAAAAAAAATTGTTTCGATTTCCCGATGGACTCATCCTAGCTGCAGCTTCGAATCTCACAACATATTTTTCGATTTATCAGCAAAATAAAACAATTGCCTACGTGTTGCCAAGCGACCATTTAATGAGGATAGCCGAAAGTTAAATCAATAACCAAATGAATACAGAAATACGCATTTTGCTTAAGATATAAGTGAAAAAACTCACAAAGTTAATATGTCTAAACGATTAGATGGCAAAATAAAAAGGCCCAATAGTGGCCCAAAAATTAAATCCAAGTCTGATGGTCGACACACCGAACAAGCGAAACGAGAAGAAAGAGCTTTACTGGCAAAGCAGAAGGAGAGAGAGTTGAAGATTGTAGAACACCAGGTAACCTAATTTTCATTGAATAAATATCATATTATAATTTGGTTACTTATTTATTAGGTATTTTGAATTAATTAGCACAAAATTATCAAAAAACCACTTTTAGAAACAGCCGAAAAATCGATTTTTTGTCTAACTAAAAACAATAATTACCCTAGTTGAAAGAATTTTTCTATAAAATGTTATGTTCTTTTAGAGCCAATTTATAGGCATACGAAATTATAAATTTTGTTTTTCTTAAACTATTGTAGACAAAGCATTTTCCGTTCTGTCATAAAACTTGAAAACATAATCCATGGTTTCTCATAAGTTATAAATAGTGTACTTAAAAAAAAGGTTATCACAATAATTTTTTATGAGCGTCTATACTTTGAGTTTTAAAACAAAATTTCCAAATTATTCCAAGATAGAAATTCTTAAAAAATTTCAATTTATATCTAACATTTTGAAATTTAATTTAAGATTCTTTATAAGTTTATGTACTTCCAACAAAAAAAAAGTGCACACGATGATAAAAAATTATTTTATCAACTATTAAGTAATCCGTTATTTCAAACAACAGCAGTTTAATATACTATTTTTGTCTTACAATATTATATACTGTTAGATTTTTTTTTATTGCTTAAATATTTCAACAAAAATTTTAGCTTTACAAATTAACATAATATTTGGCGTCTAGATCTGTGGATTATAAACATAAAAATACATTTAGAAAACCACTTGTATAAGTTAGTATTCTAATTTGTTTATTTGACTAATAAGTCGTAGGTACTTTTAAAGCAATTGTGTAACAATGTTATTTCATTAAATTATAACTACCGGTTTAGTTAATAAAATACTCTATTGCTCTAGAACAAAAAATATATTAAACAATATCATTTATTTTCAGAAATCATTTGTCACTAAATAATGTCCATTAAGAAAAAATGTCCTGTTTAATTTATCACATTAAAATATTAAACTTGTTGGTAAGCATGTTTTTTTTACTATATTTTCACTGGTGCTACTATATGAATATTGTTGTACCTACTGACCATAATATACAAATGGTTATGACTTACGATTACATTACATTAAATAGCAATAAATATATTGTAAAAAATAAAACCAACTATAATAATGTGTTAGATATTTCCAAATTATAGTATATTATTAGTATACCTATGTAATATATAATATACATCCTTAAAAATATAGGTTTACTACGTATCAAATTATATAAATTAAATGAACTCTAAATTTTAAGAAACTAATCTAATGCATAGATACATTATAATTATAGAGCCTTATTTCCTGTATTAATACCTGAATTAATAGAGACAATGCGTACAAGGTAACAATAATTTATGCACGAATAACTTGTTTTATAATAATTGCAAAGACATTTAAAAAAATATACTGCTTCATCTAATGAAATTACACGAAAAAATACGTTCACAAATGTATGATTTTATGTTAATAAAATTTAAGTATAATAACAGATACGACTATTTATTATTGTTATTTAATATAATGTAGAATATAAATAATTAATTGGTTCGTGGTGCATAATGATTAACTAAGTGTTCAATTTAATTATTAAAACATTTTACTATTTACGATAAAGGTATTGAATGAACAATATATGTATATGAGTGTTATATTCATACATATTCTTAAATCAAACACTTATAGCTGATAATATAAATCAATCTACTTAATATTCCACAAGTAATCAGATGTTGAACTTGTAAGAGAAGGTTCAGAATCAGACGCCCCCTAGTTTGGTTAAGAAATTAATTATTGATATTTTACTCTACTGAAGTCAAACAAAACAAATTCAGTTACAATAGTTACATATTTTATTAGGCTAAAAAGTTTATTCTGCAAAGAATAAAATTTAAGTTTCTGATTTTTTTCTTATACATTTAGAAATATATATGTAAAAACTATTGTTAATATTACATACATTTAAAAATTATTAAATGTTTATACAACTAAAACTAAATAAATGTATTACATTTTTTAAATTGAATTATTATTACTTGTAGTGAATAACGGTAACAATATTATTTTATTAATAGTTGATAAAAATATAATTATTAGTGATATGTTGTGATTATGATAGTACTACTTATACTTTAGTAAAGTTACGAGACACTATATCTTTATTTTTTATTGTAATTCACGATAAAAACAATATTATTGATTTTTTTTTTTAAATATTTGGTCTGAGTAATTATGATGAATTCATATATTTTTAATAACTTCTACATAAGTTCAATAACATAAATGTCCGAACGATTATGTTTTTATTTAAGTGTTACTATTTAAACTTAGTTGTATATTGTGTTAGTAATTATTAAATACTTAATATTTATTTTAATCTTGTTAAATATCATTACAGCTCCGCAATGAACGGTTAAAACCAAATTGTGAAATGTTATCGGATTTATCACGAAAAAAATATGAACACGACCGAATGTACCGCGAAGAACTGGACTGGCAGCATTGGATACGATGCGACGGTACTCCCAACCCACAAGTTGTTCAGGAACTGAATACGTATCTCTTTGTTGAGAGACAAGTGTGCCATGCTAGTGACGATAAAAACTCTTATGTGGAAAAATGTTTAGAGATATTCAAGATTATGGACGCCATAGATGACATAGTGGATTTACCGTTGGATTTCAGTAAGATATAATATAAGATATAACTAACTTACGTACATAAATTTCTAAGGAATTTTCACGAACATGATTATTCAAGTTTTTGACCACATTTCAACGCTGCTATTTGTACCAAGCAAACCTTCATTAAATTTGTAAAAATATCACCGAATTCCTCTTTTGATTTTGATTTTTTTTAAATTTAAATTTTAGTGCCATCTAAGAAAAATACAATTATAACGGATGAGTCAAATAATTATTATACGACAGAATTAGGTATAATTATTATTATTGTTGTTTTATTTCTTTTAAAAGATAATGGTCGTGGCAAAGCGCTTAATTTTTTTAAATAAATTAAAATTTAGCTGTAGATCAAACAATGTGAAATACTTCAAAATTCAATCACATTAATACAATTAAAAGCAATATATTTAACATGTAGTGAAATTTATTTTGAGCATAATCAATAGTTTATTTATTTTAGGTCAGTTTAAACTGCAGTGATTCCGAGAAGCCAGAGACAACCTAGGAAGGCTGCTGGTAGATATTGTGTACGGAATTTGTTACCATCTGATTAGTGATTACGATCGCAGAATGGATCCTGTAGATTTAGAAACTGTGGCATATAAAAACTCATGCGAAGCGTTCGCTGTTGGCTTACATGTAGTGTGTCATAGGCCCAGATTACTGACGGATGACCGACCTCCGCCAAAATGTGATTTCCCCGAATGTCTTGTCATGGTCGATGTCCCACCACAACTATCACAACAGTACATGGCAGTAATGGCTCTATGGCTACGCTGGGACCCTTTCACAGACAGAATGGCTGAATTTGACGTTTCAAAATCATTAGAAAAGGATACCAGAGATCTGTGGCAGTACTCTGAAGACACATGGAAACAACAGACTCAGATTACTCAGCTACTAAACGAAGAGAAGGAACGATCAGAGAGACAATTGTGGATGGAAAAAATGGAAGAGAAACTTAAAGCATTTGCGGAAGTGGATAGAAATAGTTATCCAGAAGATCTCCAAACGTACCTAGACGAACTTGAAAAAAATGATCCTTCTGTTCGTTCAACTAACGATGATACACAAAAAGAAGATCATCGAAAGAAAGTAGAAATAAAAGACGAACCTTCCAAACCCGTGGAACCTGAAACCATAAAGTCAGTACAAGTCGATATCATAAAAACACCAAGCCAAGAAATGGAAAAACGACAGCTGGAACAAATGGAAGATATTTCTAATTCATTGAAATACTCGGAGAAACCAAATGAACTTAATCCCAGGAGGTACACATTTATAATTACTATCAATTCAAGTTATTTAAATTAAGATATAATTTGTAATGTGGTTAAAGCGTGTTTTACGTAGGCAAACATTTTGTTTTTGTCCTCTAACTTTAAATTGTTGTTCATTCAAAATGCAATAGTTCAACCAACGATAAAATATTGTACATAAATATTACGTATAAAATGTCTCAAAATAAATAACTTTTAGATACTGGATTATTGGCGGAGCATTTAACGTGGAAATGTGGAAACTTCCAATGCAGCCCGTCGAGTTCGAAGACGGGTCAGTGGGCGTATTGATTGTCGGACCAGAGGCACTGCAGCCAATCGATTATCATGAAAAATACGAACCGTTACAATTGTCGATGGGCTTTTCATCCACATCGTCAGAAGACGAAGAAACGGACGTAAAAAAACAAAACCAAGAAGCACTCAAAAGACTCGCGTTGATAAATATCAAGTTACCGGAAAATGTACTTTGGTTTGAAAATCCCAAACCAGCCATGTGGAACGAAGAAAAAAAAAATTGGACAACTGAATACATATACGACATCAGGTAATATTGTAGAACAATAATTTTCATTTTATAATATCCATATCTCACCCATATCATACTATAAAAATCGTGACCGAGTTTTTGAGAAGAACTCATTTATAAAAACATAAAAACATAAAACAAATATCTTTTGTACGACGCATATAGTATTATATTTTTAACTCCTTAACATCAGTTACCACTTATTAAACAAATTGCACTGTAAAACAGAATAATAGTAATCATTTTATCTAATCCTTAATTTATTTAATTTTTGAAGAAAAAAGTACAGAGAAAAAAACTGAGTGAGCCTTACTGAGAAAAAACTTTGTTGGTGCCCGGGGTACTAATAACATTGTAATGTAATAAAATATTCAAAAAATAATACACATTTTATAAAAAATATATTTTGTATAAAGCGCATTCGCGTCTAATTTAAATGAAAAGTATTAGTTAACATGTATTATGATAAATTATATTAGTCGTTAAATAAACTCACTTGATGGCTGACTGATTAAACTCACCAAATTCTATGTCTTTCTTTTAGTTTTACCCTCACACCCTAGTACCTCACGCGTAATCTGTCACCTCGATGAAGCACATCGAAGTCTTATAATGTTGGCGTTTAAAATACATAATATATCGTGTATACAGCCCAAAAACGTAATAATATTTATGTTAAAATCGATTCTTCTATAATCGTGTCACCAATCAACTCCCAAAGTACCCAACGCGTTTCACACGATATCCCGTCCTATGCCACACGCATACCAACCGTCCACCGGGTTGACGTCACGATTCCTGTTCGCAGGTTCAACGAAGAGAAACAGATGGTGTCGTTCCGGGCCGGCCGAATGGGCTCGTTCGGGTTGGCCGTGAACCGGTACACGAACTTTCCGTTTCAGTCGTGGGAGATACGGCCGGAGAGCGGCGCCGACGGCTCCGGCGTCGTCCTGTCGGTGACCGCGGCCACGGTGCTGGTGGAGATCGCCGTGCGCGAAGACCAAGCGGCCATGGTACAGCTGCAGAACGCCACCACCGTAGCGCTGCAGGAGATGATCGGCGCGTACCACCGGCCGGACAAGCTGGTACGGTTGTTGCGCCGCGGCGGCATAAACTTGTTCCCGGAACCGGACGCCCGGCACTACGTGGACGGCAACAGGCCGCCCAAGCACGCGGTGGCCGAGCGGCACGCGTACCGATGCATGGCCGCGCTCAGCGGCACGCACCAGTTCGCCGCGTCCCGGTGGAACGTGAACGCGCCCTTTGACCGCATGGTCATGCAGATGAAGGAAACTCAGCCGGCCATCGAAGCGGCCGGCAGCGGGACGTCGGTGTCGGCGGCTAGCGGACAGGCCGGCGTCGTCCCGTACAAGATGGTTATGGTGACGCCGGAACGGGCGGTGCTGCTCAAGTGCACAGAGGTCAGCCAAGTGTTCTCCGAGGAACCGCTTGAGACGCCGGCTGCCACCGCCGCCGAGACCGCTCAGCGGTACGCGCCCGACCTGTTGACGCTGGCCGGATGCAGCTCCACCGTCGACTTCAAGACCACCGAAACGCTCTTCTACCTGATGGACAAGATAAAATTTTTGAGCTACTCTTGATTCAGTCGGCAGCGCATGCGGTGCACTGCAATCGCTTACCTACACGCTTTGTTCACTTAGCTAGCGCCGTCATTATAATATAATACATATAGTTAAGTGTTTTTAAACATTATAATTATTTTTATTATTATTATTAATATTAGTATTTTTATTTTTATTGTTTTATTTTTATTTGTATTTGTATAGTAAATTATTTAGTTAATTTTAAATAAAAAAATTTAAACAATATTAGATTAAATTATTAAGTCTCGATACGAAATCGTTTCTGAAGCAAATCCGAAAGGTTTTGTTTATTCTAGATTTTTTTAATCACATTAAAGTTAGTTGTACACTTGTACCTTGTAAACTTGTATTTATAACAACAATATATGTAACGATTTCAAATAAAATATAAGCATTATAGCTTTTTTTAAATTAAAATATCGAATGAAACCGAACAGAGCTCAGGGATAATTTAATCACCACCCATATCTAAATCGATAATAATATGTACATTTTTCCTCTATATTCAGCCTGCGAACTAATACACCTCATACGCTTTACAAAACATTAATTATGGTCTGATGAATATGATATTATTAGGTATGTTTTTTTATGTGTAATTATTTTTAATCAATTTTTTTGGACAGTAAAACGGTAGCTTATTTTTTAGGTATCAAGTTTTGGTGACTGCCAAATTTGAGAACATAATTCAAAAATTATTTTATTTGTCAAATATCGTGATAGTTTCGTTCCCGATGAATATTTAACCCATTTAGAAGTATTTTAGTTCCTATGATTGTTTAAAATATTCACCTCTCAAAATAACGTGTTAAAAAAAAAAAGTTAATACCTAATGGATGCGACAAAAATTGACAGATATAAAAGTTGACTAGAAAGACAACTAATACCTGCTATCGAGTTACACAATATTATTGGACAAAGATTAAAGTGGTCATCGGGATTTGGTCACATTTTGCTCGCCTGAACGTGTTAAACATGATACAATAATGGCGTTGTGTACATTATTCGTTATCGAAAAGTTCTGGTCATTGGTTTAACACAAACAATCCATGGACGATATTATCTCGTATACTTAAATATATGTATATATATATATATGGGAATAATTTACCATTTGTTGAATTTCGAACCTATCCGAATGTGCTGCGAGGTGTATATAATATAATACTAATCATAAGATCTAGAATAATCACTAGATATTCATACCTATCTATCTAGAATAATCCTTCTATTATTTAAGAACAATTCGCTGCTAACAATCAGCTATTTGTTGAACTATATTATTCACGAGTCACGACGAATCAAACACTGCATTTGGTTGCTTATACGTTGAATTATCGACATTAAAATACAATATATTACAGTATATATTTTAATCAAAAATTTGGTGGACGAAAAATGTATTATCATATATTTTACGCACACGTAAATTCGGGATACTCTTGCATGTGTAATATTATTATTGAAATTTGCAGGAAACGGTTTTTCATAAAAAAAATCAGGGAAGCAATGTCGAATTTAGGGTGGCCCTGCAATCCGTGTACAGTAATATCTTATACATAATAGTAGCTATATACATTATTATAGTACAAGGAAAATCGCAAACGTCTCCTGTAAACGACCGGAAGTGTGCCGAACACCGGTGGTTCCGAATTATCACGGTGGCGTATGCACACGATGACGAACGGCTGCTGCGAGTCGGACGACTTAATCTCGGCGGCGGTGGTTCGGAGATAAGGCGGCCCGCGGTCGCTGTCCCGGCACGACGCTATATTAATCACGGACGTGCGCTCCCTTTCCCGACAAAAAATGTACACGAAATACAGTATATATGTATACGAATAAAAGGGTTAATTAAACCGGAGAAACCCTTCGAGCCCCGCTCGCGTTGGTGGCGGCGGTTCACCGAGAGACGGTGAAATATTATCGCGCCCCCTGCGCCCCGTATAATATATTATATTATTAAATCCGCAACGATAATAGGACGCGTGACGATTTTAATAACTAGATAAAGAGAGAGACCGATGCGTTACACGGTATAATACGAAAATAAAATATAAATAATATTATTGATGTCGAAAATTCGGTCCGGTAATCGTCTAGTGGTTTGTCCGATGATTTATGATGGCGGGGCTCCGTTTCGCCAAGCTCGGAAATCGAACCCTCCTCGCACAAAAGCCGAAATTTTGTCGTGTGCTACGTGCAGGGATGATCGAGGGGGACAACTGCATAGTCCGATAAAACCCAAACCGGCTTCGGCTATTCTCCTGCATATAGTGCTCGCGCTGTATAATATCCATCGTCGCCTTCGCCGTTTTGAATAACGGTTCAAGTTTGTACTCATCGGCATTGAGATTAGACAATTTTTGAGATCTTGATTACTGCAATATACCCACCGTCTCAAAGACTGCACAGTGCACACGGCTTTTGTGCTCAAGGGTGATGCACGCAACGACTATTAGGAGGAAAACAACAAATATTATATTATACTACCAAGCACTAAAATACAGAATACACCCCATGTGTTAAAGTTACTTCATACACGCGTATTACATTGTTATGCAGAACAACATTTTGTAGTAAACAATAGAATCTATAGTCGAACGCCGAACGGGTGATTGAAGAAGACCGTCGAGGAGGCCAAAGCTAAGACGAGAGGACTGGGTGAAAGAGTGACGTTAAAAAGCTAGGACTAGATAATATCAGATGGAGAAAGCTGCAGAACGCAGGAACAGGTGGTAAGATTTGTACTTAACGATGTGGTCTTAAAGGCCGAAACCAAGAAAGAAGAAGAAGAAGAAGAAGAAGAATATTATGATGGTATATTGGGAGTATATATTCAAAACGAATTCGGATCGGAGTCCGACACTGACCGTATCGGTTATTATTATGTATAAATAACTATAAATATACTAGCTGAATTGCCCGGCGGAAAAACTCCTTTTAGGTGTAAAACACTGTCTAATTTTCATCGATAAACTTCTCGGAACAATTCTTGTCGTCGACCTTCGGACAAAAAGGATAGGTTGCATGAAGTAGCTGGAAACCCGCGAGCCGCCATGAACCCGTGCGTGCAGCACAATACGTATTTGCGATGAATAATTATGATTGTTAATTACTCCACTAAAACGCAACATTTTTGATTATTGCTTTCTTATTGCTCGGTGAAAATATGCGGAGAACCTCAAAATTTCAAGTTCGTACGTCGCGCAGTTTTTGAGTTACAGCGATCAGTACATGCTCGTACGTGTATGGGAATAATATTTGATAATATAATGACAATGCAATATCTGTCGCTCGATCCGGCTGCCGGGGAGCTCTGCAGGGCGAACCACCGCCGTCCGGCAGAGATAGCTCGGCGAAAATCACATAAACGCCAATATAATATATCATATTATTTTTTTTTCCTCACTATCGTTATTATTATTGCCTATACATATACTTATATAATAATATTGTGAGCGCCGCAAACATGTTTCCGTCGCCGTCGCGTCGTGACCTACGCTCCGCACGCGGATTATTACTACTAATTTATATGTTAATTCAATCACAAAATCTCATATCTGTGTTTTATCCATCGTACAATTAGCCGCGATCGAGTTGATTGTGCGTCTTACGGCAGTGCGTACATATTATACACCCATATAGGTAGGTATATACAAACTTCGATGGTATTGTAATGCACGCGGGCAATAGTATAAAATATAATATATTATATTATTATACACCTATGATATGGGTACGCATATATACATTGCAGCGCATTATATTATATATGTGCTCGTGTTTTTGTGTCCGCAGACCGTGTTCCCCGCGAGGACGAAATTCGCCTCAGTATATATATATATAAGTAGTGCATATATAATATGTATATACGCATTATGTTTAGCTACGAATGTGTGTAGGTATGTAATAATTATTATAATAACACATAGGTACTTCTGCAGCACCCGCAAAAACGCTCTCGTATATGTAACATATTATGCGCAGGTACTTTAAACGTATAATATACTTATTGTTTTCCGATTATAATTAATTATGCGTGCCCCGTGAGCTGTCAATTTTTTATTCACACGAGCACGCCCACTATCTCGCCGCAATTTTTTACCATACATTCTTTATCTGTATGTGAACATCTGCAAGCGTTACGAATCGCGTGATTATCGAGAAGGACACTGTTCATAATATATTTCATCCAACAGCGGCCCTATAAATACATATTATACCATCAAAATAGAACGGCGACAACGTTGACACTGCATACATATTTATATAGTGTTGGGTACTTTTGATTTCTGTGACGTGATCGTGATTTTGTAAGACGTCAATTAATATTATTTGAATTACAGTATATAGTAGTAATACGTATCACATAGGAGTAGCCGGAGCGCTTAAAAATAAAATGTTGGCGAAACGAGCAACGTATGATACGATATTATAGACACATATATTTAGCATATTATAAGCAATTAATATGGAGTTTTCATTATGTGTTTAAAGGTACGTGCACGGGAGAAGAACAAGCTTAACGTCAATTATTAACGAGGAAAATAATTACAATAGAGAAGCTATTAATTAAATTAGTCGGAAACTTGAGGGAAACCTCTTTCACACGCACACATACGCATGTATAGTACCTACATGAACATCGGTCGTATTGCTAAATATGTGCGGTTTCATAATATCATGTCCATCTATTATTACTCTACATCATTGGTTCTCAAACTGTAGTACTCGTACTCTTTGTGGGTACTCGACATTTTCGGGAGGTACGATTCTGGCCAACAAACCTATACATTTAAATAGAGAAAATATTTTTTTATATATATATCAGTAACCTAGAAGTGGTAACCAAAAAATTGTATTAGTAAAAAGGGGTACAGTGTCTATACGAGTTTGAGAGCCCCTGCTCTACAAAATATTGTATTTTATGTTTGGTCCTCATCATCTGCGCACTGCGGGGACAATACAGTAGGCGAGATAATATGCATACTACAATGCGTCGAGGTCTTGCCGGTTAATATTTTTCAGAAAATATCTCTCGAGAACAATATGATTTA